AAGATGAGGATGGATCTGCAGGTTCCTAGTTAGAGTAGTTATGTGGATGGTCTTGCTCTCTGATTTAAACTCTTCTTGCTTAACTAAACAGTTCCTAATTTTAAAAATCAAGAGATCCAGAGATATGAAATTAGATCTCAGGTATAAAGTTTATGGGGAAAAATCCTTTGTCAGAGAATTAAAGATTAGATGTTGTAAAAGGTATTTTTGGTGTACTCATCCACCCCGATGAGGAGAGGCTAGGCTCTGCAGTCCTGAGTGGGTAGGGTCTGGCAAGTTATCAGCAGTCTGTCAGCTACAGGATGAGCCAGTGCGTCATTGTAGAAGGGACAGATAGGAGCTTCAGATCCAGACAGAGAAAAATGTTTCAGATTTTAGGTAGAAGTGTGAGAAGGAAGTATATGACGTAGCCCCAGGAAAGCAAGCCAAGTTCTAGCCGAGGAAAAAGGCATCGGTAAAGAGGAAATGGTGGTGCCATGTCCGTAGCAAATCCTTGGCCCTTAACAGTATGTTTTCTACCTAGTTTAGGACTTAGATCTGTTATGGTTTCTTGTTTCCTTACCTCAACAATATTTAAGCAACAACCTTAGAATTCATCTGAAGCAGGACTTACCGTTTATTCCCGAAGGATTTGAGAACAGAGATGGGACTTTAAAGCTTTTAGGCTAGCTACCAAATGATTATGTCAGAGGCATGAAACTGACTTGAGAGAACATACTGGTTTACTGGAACCACATAAGGAATAATCAAGAAAGAGCCAAGGAAAAGAGAAGCATTGACAAGAACATGATTTAAATGTCTGGCAAGATTAATCAGTTTCCCCAAGGTAGTTGTCAGTAGTCTAAATCTGAAGAGACCTCAAATGAGTTATGAACTAATGTATAGGAAAATGTAGCCACTGAGCAGCAAGGACAGAAAATACACTTAAAAATGGATGTAAAGATGTGAATACTTTTCTAAGACTAGATAATTGAATTTATTGATAAAAATAATTTGCTCACATCATCCCTGAGAACTTCTGTATATGCTAATTTCTAGAATATTTGCTTTTATATGCAGTTATTATTACCAATAACTTCTTTTTATCCCGTTTTAACTGTACCAAGTGTTAAAATTACGTTGTCTCCTTTTACTCATTTGCCTGCACTCGTATAAATTGGTTGCATGGTGTCCTCGCAGCATCTCCAATATTCAGCTCGTAGCGCCCGGGCCAAGGCCTCTTTGGAAAAGGGGACGCGCGAGGGGGGACCTGACAGCTACATCTAGGAGCAGTCCTTCTTAGAGATTCAGACTCCTTTAAGAATATGGTGCAAACCATTTTTCTCCCCAGAAAAACATCCACAGGCACTAAAATCTGTATTTAAAGAGAGTTCACTAAGGTATGTGGCGCGTGGGAAGAACCCTAGCGTTAGAACGTGCTTTAGACACTTGACTATTCTTCTCCAGGAGTTAGTTGCATTTATGGGGCAAATCATTTATTCAATTACATTGAGTAACAACTTTGTGCCCTTTTGTGAAATGTGTCTGTAAGCGAGGTCTTATGAAGCTTACATTCTGTGTGTAGGCAGATAATATGTAAATAAATAAAGTAAATTTAGATCAGTACTAAGTACTGAGAGGAAAATAAAAGTCATGTGACAGTGGTTGTATGAGAGCAGCATTTTAGATTGAGTGCTCAGAGACAGGAGACAGTTGAGATGATACCTAACTTCTTAATCATTAAGATGATATATCATATGTTTGGATAATGACTTTTAAGAAATCAGCCACAAAGTTCAATATCAGTTTTCTTCTTGATTTCTGGAAGTATATCATCTTGAGAACATGTCTGTTGTGTTTGGATGCATTCATGTCACATGATGCAATGCTGCCCTCTTGTGGTAATCAGTTTAATAGCATGCCAGCTTAATTGCAAATCGGCTTCAAGGGTGTACTGTATGTAGTGGGATTTATTTCTGAAAAATAGATGTGTTCTTTAGATTGCTTTTGAATTTACAAGTCCTGTTCACTTACAGTCTATTTGAAAATCTTATTTAGTCTCAAATTCTTGGAGTAGTTTTCTGTGTTCATTAATTCTTAAACAATTGGAAAGGTTACCTAAGAAATGGGAAGAATTCAACTCTCAGAACTGAAAGCAGATTAATGGTATTGGAAAAATAAAGCAAGAAGGTGAATTGCTAATACAAGTGTGGAAAATCTGGGACTTGAACTTGTTACTTAAAATATGTATTACATTAAATTTCCCATTCCAAAAGCCATATATATCTATATATATCTGTGTGTATATATATATATATATATATATATATATATATACACACACACAGATATATATAGATATATAAATAAATAAAATCTTAAAACAATTTTTCATTAGATACATTTTAAAAGAATGTGTTTTGGAATTTTAAAGACAAATAACAGTATTTAGGAACAGTGAACATTATTAATAGACTTTATTATAATAATAATAAATTTCCATTGAAATATGACCATATTCTTCAGTTTAATATCCTAAGTATTTGGTCTGTTTCTTCTAAATACCAGTATTTAATGCTTTCTTTTTTACACTATGGACATTTTCTGACTCTTTTCTAAGTCTGTAATTGAAAGGTTCTTTTTGGAATAATGGTTTTTCATCTCTTAGTAATTTGATTTGAATATTTTTTGTTTTGCTTTTTCTTTTAGAAAGTTTATATAACAGATTTGAGAAGGTATTAAGTAGCTGACAGTTACAAATAAATTTGACTTATTTTTCTAAGTCCAGGAAATCTGTTGTGCCTAGATCCTTTTACAGTGGTAGCTCTTTTCAAGGCCCTTGATATGGTAATTTATTCTGTTCTTTCTGGTAGTCATCTCAGTAAAAGTAAAATTCATAAAGATTGATAACTGCACGTATTTCTAGTTGAATATCAGGCGATACATACAATTTTGAATTATTCACATATCATTGTCTACTCATTATGTGCTGCTTGAGTGCAATTAAAAAATGCAGTTGTGTAATTTGGTTTTTTTTTAAAGATTTTTATTGGGGAATTGGGGGGATGGGAACAGTGCTGGGGAATTGGGGGAAGGGGAACAGACAAGTTGCTGTCCTTTTGTTCTGTTCTTCAGTCTAGTTGTGGAGGATGTTGCTTCACTGGCCCAAGTTGGCACCATCATTGCTCTCTTCCCGGGTGAGGCAGATCAGTCGCCAGCTTCTGGACGGCCGCTCACTGCGGCTGCTGGCAGCTCACGCTGGCTGCTGGCTACACATGGTTGCTCATGGCAACCCACTGCCACAGGGGCTGCAGCCTACGCTATCGCCGGCAACTCACAGCAGCCCAGTTCCAGGTTGAGCTGTTGTTCAGCATCTTAGCTGTGGAGGGCAGTGTCACTGGCCCTCATATGTGGGATCTGAACCGGTGCCCTCTGGAGTCCCAAGCCAGTTCTTAACCATTGCGCCATTTGGCCGGCCTGTGTAATTTGGTTTTGAATGCCCCATAGTGGTTTCATAATCATGGCATAAATCACAATAAACGGTCTGAAATTATTTTTGACTAAAGGTAATGTGGGTGGAGAGATTTTGTAATTTAACTAGACAGTGTGGATTTCTATTTACATTTTTTTCACTAAAACACATAAAAGGTATTTAAGAAGTATTTCATCTTCCATAATCGTTTGCTAGATGGAACACTTAAAGCTACATGGCCTCTATTATGCTTAGCTTGAAAATGTTGAGTTAATATCCTTTTATGAAGGTGGGCTGGTAAGAATTATAGGAACATCTTTATAAGGTCACATTATGCATATGCTTTGAATTGGCAGCATTTTGTTGATGGAATCACCATGTATATAATTACGCCTTGCTTTTATTACAAAACATGATTTACACATTTGCACACACACACACGCGCGCACACACACACACACACGCACTGGACTTCAGTGGGGAAACATATGGAGCCCTTCTATATGTGGTGCCAGTCATGTTGATATTCTAATAGACTGACTTTCTTTTAAGTGTGGAAGGGGGAAAAAAGCCAGACCACCTGTATTTGAAGGAATGCCAGACTTTCAGAAAAAAAAAAATATATGTATTATTTTGTTGGTTCCTGATCAGTGATTCTCATTCTCATGAACTTTCAGTTTGTACCAGCCTCAGCTTTGATATACATGTGTTACATGTGTTTCATCTCATGACGAGGAGAATTTACTGCGAGAAAAACTAATTCAGGGATCATCTGTAGATTTTTCTACCTAGGAATAAAAGTACAATATTTTCTTCATAGACTACAAAACTGAATCCGTTTCCAAATACAGAACTTAAAATCACCTTGATTATGGTATTTTAAATGTTAAGTATAATTTCTACCTAAAGTAAAATAACTTACGATGAGCTTGAACCTTCTTTAGCCCTTCAAGAATTACAAAGTGCCAATCTTGACATTCTTATTCTATTTAAGGTATTTTCTCTCTTCTAGTTCGTAAATATGATGGAAAATGTCTGCTGAAGAGTACATTTGGGATTTCTTTTTATTTTTGCAATCTAAATTCTTAGTGAAAATAAAATTTCCAATATTAGGATCATTATTGCTTTCCTAACAATGGCTTCAACAATCATATATAAATAATCAGAAAGAAACAGAGAGAATGCATAAGATGAACTTTATAAAAGCAAGCCCACAGCCAGAGACGAATGAGTATCCAAAATAAAATGTGGTGGGTCAGTTAAGAATCAGAACCCCATAGCTTCTCAGTTACTCTTGGTGCAAAGTTTAATGGCTCCTTTTAATGTCGCTTAGAATGTCTTGCTATTCCTAAAAGGCACATGGATGAAACAATAGTTTATAACTCTGCCGTAGTTTCACTAATATTTATGCTTCATTGGCATGTTCACTGTTTATCTTGCACTAGCTCGTTGCTTTTTATGACCATTTAAATTAGTATGGTAGAGTCAGCCTTACTTTGTGACATTTTAATACTTTTATAATAAAATAAGTGTTTCCTTCCATCCGTAGGTGCTGCTGTTTTTTCAAACGAAGGAAAAGGAAAACCATACAGCGCCACAAATGACTCTGGACACAGACAGATCATGGGGAGTTACTTATGTGTTCATCTGCTGTCTTGTGACTAAAATCATCTCTGTAGTGACCACATGTATTTTCAAGGACTCACTCTTAGAAAAATGTCGTACTTTCATACTTCATTTTGTGGTTGTCTTACGTTCATTTTTTTTCTAATTTAACTTTTATGGAAGCTTTAAAGTTTTGTCAAAACATGAGTGCTTTGCCCATCAGTGAATGGAATGGACCAATGAGGTAGTATTGATGAAAACAGTTCTATAGAACATTTTTCAGAAGCTCTCCTCTTGTTGTAGAAAGCAGTACAGTATCTTAAATGTCAGCCAGTCACATACCTACCCTGGTTTTTTATAACAAATGTAAGAGCATAATCAAATAGGAATTTTCTCCCCAATGGATAACGCAACAGAGAAAACAGAGTTGCCCAAATATTTGAAAGCAGTTATTCCTTAAGAAGTTCATTTTTGGCATGACGTCTGAATTGATATCAGTATTACTGATGGTACTGCTATTCATGAGTCCTAGTAACATTCTTTCTGTGAAATCATGGTACAGTCACTGCCAGAGGTACTGAGGAAAAAGCTCTGTGGGTTCGGCAGATGGTAGTGGTGAAATGAATCACAAGTAACGTGGTTAATTTGAGCTCTGCTTTTGTTGCACCACTGTGTGAAGTACAGTGTTGGCTGAAGTAGCAAAAGCGCTTATTTTAAAGTGCAAAATATTTGTCTAATGTAACTTCATGCTTCCAGATAATAATGTATGTTAGACAGCAAGACATGAATACTTTGAGAAATGAGATATGTTGGAGTTTTTTTTTTTTAAATACACTAAGGAGAAGAAATAAATGTGAATCTCATTGCAGTGTAGAAGGTTGAAGTCCAAGGAGATCCCACTGAAACCCACTGCTGACTGATTACATTCTCCCTTAAGCAGGAAACTTAGGATGTGCCATGCAGTGGTGTCTGTTTATTAATTATTTGCTCTTTGATTAAAAAAAAAAAACAGATTCCCAGCAATAAAAACTGGGTCACTTTATTGCCCTCTGCGCACATTAGTCTTCTTGTATTCGACTTTGCTGGTTCTCTGGAATATTCCTACATTTTAGCATAATTTTGATTATTGAAAACTATTTTGGAGAGGATGGGTCAGGTGCTTTGCCTCCATAGTCTTTTGAAGTGCCTGCATATGAACAAAGTAATGGTTCTGTGAAAAAGGAAACGCATTCCACTTTTCAAGTATCCTTTGTTTTAAGCCATAAAGACACAGGTGTACTTTTGTCACATTCTTCCAGCCAGAATTTTCAAGAAGAGTTCAAACAAAAAGACTGACTAGAAAGAGAATTATGTTGTTCCAAATCTCATATTCACCTTTCATTTATAAACTTGTTACTTACTCCTTCCACGCAGCCCTTCTTTGTCTTTAAGTGTGTGCCTTCCGGCATGCTTATTTATTTTTTTTTTTTGTCTCAAGGTAACATTTAAAATGTGTAATTAAAGTAAATAAATCTACATTTTTGACTTCATTATTGCATTTACAGGGATTTAATTGTACTTTGTAATTTATTTTTCTTACTAGTTAAAAGTTCAATGCATTGTTTTTGATGAATTAGGCACCGATATGAATACCACAAATCGGACAATGTTTAGCATTGTTGCTCTGAAACCTATGAATGATCTTTTTTAAGTTCTTGATTTTAAAGACCTACACTCAGCCTAGAAAACATTTGCTGTATAATTTGGTCAACAGTTTCCATCCTATCTATTAGTATACTGTCATGCTGTCTTAAACTACAGGAGTCACATACTAAGTTGTTATTTTTGTTTGCGTTGAGCAAGGTAGATGGATGTTTTGGCCATTATAATGTGAAACCACTTCTTTCTTTACAGTATTTGACCAAATCTGTGTGTCTATGATATTTGTAAATACATGCGATATCTGTATTTCTTATAAGCCTATTTAGTTTTATTCTCAGTAGGGTTTTTGGACTGTACAGTGTTTATATGATCTGAACTCCTTATACATAAGAAGGTGTGTATATTAATTCAATTATGGACTTAAAATATTTTAAAAGTATAAATACCCTTATTTGCTGCAAAGACCAGTGTGTAGACATTTGCTTTTTAGCAATATTTTTAAGTGCTCCATTTTAATGCCAAGGAATAAATCTTTTGGCAACACAAACTGGTCAATAATAGGTAATGCAGGTATGTTCAGGTTAAGCCAACAACGTTTTGCATTTTTATGCTTCTTTTCTGTCAACACTAATGAAGTCAACATTGCCTGAATGTCTGAATAATGAAACACATCCCTGTTTAAAAGTATGTAACTGAAAAAAGAAATAAAAAATAAAGGTAGTTTTTTTAAACTTGCTCTTTCCCCTTTCCTCTAATCATGGGTAAAATAATGCCACTCACTAATTTGAGATACATAGGAATCTTTAAAATTCAGTTCATTTAGTTTATATATGGGAGAAGCAGAGCAAGAGGAATATGCTTTTGTTTTTTGGTTTTGTTTTGTTGGAACCCCCTTGTGACGAGCACATACCAGGAAGTATCTAAGCTTTCCTTAATGAAAGTTAAAAAAATTTTTTTACACCTCTATGAACTACTTAATGGAGCAGTTAATTAAAATGAATGCTAATAAACCAAGGAAAATACACAGAACCATTTTATTCCTTTATAGGAATGAAGTCATACTATTAAGTTCACAGAAATGACATTACTAATCCAATTTTATGTGAATGACTTTATCACTGCAGATGGAGAACATGTATCTGTCACAGTATCTCAGTTTATCATTGTTTTGGGTACTTTAAGGGGTTTACAAAGTGGTATTAGTGGTGCTCTGTTTACTGAAAGATGCTACAGATAAGATAGGGCAAAGCAACACACATTAAGCACCAGCATTCAGAAACAGTGGAAAGATCTGGAGGTGAAACAACAATTAAAAGGCCCTGTCTAGAAAAACCTGATTTGAGATTGGGGTTCAATCTGAATGAATGTATTAGTCAGTACCCTTTGAATTGCACATGATAGAAACCTCTCTTGCCTGAAGCAGTAGCGTTGTACATTATCACGTTTAGAAAAGTCCGGTGGTAGAGCTGGCTTCCGACATATTTGGTCCTGATGCAAAGTCAGGAATCTGTTTCTGTATCTCTGTTTTGCTTTCTACCCTGCTGTTTTCATTATCAGGGAGATTTTTCATGTGTCATGGTAAAGTAGCCACCCAGCTTTAGACTTCTACCCTCTTAGTAACATCAGGCAAACCAAAGGGCAATTTCTCTTTAACAGTTCCAACAAAATCCTAAGACTGACATTTCTTTATTGGTTCACATGTCCACCCCTGAGCCAATTACTATAGCCAAGGGAATGTTGTTCTCCTATCTTCAGAAGACACATGGGCTGAGAAATAAAGTAGGAGGGTTACCCAAAAGGAAATGAGGGTATTGTTATCAGAAGAGTGAATGGATACTGCACAGGCAAAAGCAATAGATAACTGCTATCGTGATGAGAAAAAACAATACTCATAACTTAGAGACAAACCTAATTGTTTTAAATTAGAAAACATTATTATTGGGACTTTTATTCTGAATATATTATTAGAAATCACTTATAGTGACTGAGTACATTTGAAAAATGTTTTGGACTCAGGTAAAAATGAAGGTCATAAGTACCTTATTTGACATGCTTTTGTTTAGTTTTTAAGGTTTTTGTGACAATTGGATTAGTACAGTTAACTAATTTTTTACTAGAGTACAAGTAAATGGAATTCGAAGCTTTGCTGATGTTCAGGGTAACTAGTTCCTTGTCTGCCCAGCTCTAAGACAGACCCACATGTTACTTTCTTAGGAAGTTTACCTCATAGCACTACATGGATCATAACCAAGGAAAGGAATACATATAGAAAAATTTTCAGGTAATATTGCTGGGATATCAAAATGATTTTGTTAGAACAGTTGTTTTACAGGGATGTTTACCCTTCTGTGATTTTACTTAAATGGAAAAACACTCCTGTACTGCTCTAGAATTGGGGTTGGCAAATCCTTGTGGTAAAGTTTAGACTCTGAGCCAAGAGGCAAAATCGAGGTTTTTATATACTTGTTAATGAGAAAGAAAACAAATTTCCTGTAATTTTTTTAGTGATGAAATTCAAAATATGTATTAGCACTAACCTATAAGTTTTTTTGGAATACAGGTCTGCTAATGATAAAAATTGAATTATTTTGAGGGGATAGTATTTCACTTAGTTGAAGTTCAAAATTGATTGCAAATGTATGTCTGTTATGCCTACTTTGAGATGTTTTTATGCATTTCATCTTTGTAAATGTCCTCACGCAGATCGATACTAGTAAATATTATCATCAATCCTCAAGTGGATGATTTTAAGTGAGCATAGTAATAATTTGGAAGGTATTTATAGAATTTCATTAGATATTTACCTTTTGGCATATCCTGCAGATTAATCACTACCTATTGAAGGTTAGGTAGATGCTCCTCAGATTTTGAAATATGGAATTTCCTTTGCATTTGCATTGAGATCCAAAAGTACAGCTGGAATTGTAGTTGAGTTTGGAAAGTATATCCACTGCACATTTGTGAGGGAAAATGGGAATGCTCATTTTAACTTGAAAGCATGGGAAGTACATAAAGTAGCTTGACATTACTTGTGACTTAAACAGCATTAGTTGTCATTATAATAACTTCATTGCAATATAAATTTCACATATAAGTGCTGTTTTGCAATTTGAAGTTGAATTTATTAAGAAACATTATCAGCTCTACAACAAAAGCTAATTTCCAAAGCCATTCAGTTTTCATTAAAAATAGGTGAGGGTGATTCTCATTTAGAAAAATTTCAGTCTTGTTCCTGAGCTGAAAAAATTGCAATAAAACTTATCACTGCCATCAAACTGCTGTGTTGGGCTAGTCAGGATATTCAGTTTCTAGTTCTGACAAAACTTAATGAATGAGAAGGTGATGATGGTCAAGACCACAAGAGTGAATGAAATTCACCATCAACTTTACTAGTTCAATAACATGACAGATTCAAGTATCTTCCACAAACTACCTGCTGATGAATAATATAAAGTGTAAACATTGATTTAATTGTCTTACATTTTCACAAGTTTTGTAAATTTGCCCAGTAAATCTATTTTTGCTCCACACATTTTAATCATCAGTTATAACACAGTAGATTCCACTTCATTTTGCACTGACTGAATTGGTGTTCTCTCAGATTCTTTAAAAAGATGCTTTCTGTAGTCCTTCCATGGAGACTATTCACAGAGGCTAATTCTTGAGTCACTTTAAACTCAGCATTGACTTCTCTAGGAAACAACAACTGGGCAGTACAAGTAATGTCACCCTAAAAATAAAAGGCCTTTCAAACTGAGAGGCAACAAGCATTTGTTGAGATCAATAAGAATAGCTATTCGAGAATTACTAATTCATGCAGAAGCCCAAATAACGATTCCAATTAGGAGACGAAGGCAATGTATATTTATGAGAAAGGGAAAGGGAACAATTACATCAGTAGAAGGAAGGCATTTCTATTGGTGCAAATAACAGTGATATTAGTTCTAAACAATGTTTTCAATGAAATTTCAGTCCAGTAGTCAAAAGAACTACTGTTTTGTTATCTCTGTAGTTTTCTGGGACACAAGGTTGCTTAGGCCCAGCCCAAAGATTATTTCGCCATTTTAACATTCCAAAGATTTGAAGCATAAGACATACAAGGCAGTTCCTGTGGTATGGCAGCTCCAGCTTCATTTTAAAGTGGCTCCATTTATTTTGTTCTTTACATTTATATCTATCGACTCATCGAAAGCCACGGAAAACTACTTGAAATCCTTTGCCTTGTTTTTTAGTTGACCGACTATTAGTGTCTTCAAGTCTTCAAGTAATTGTCCTTACTAAAAAGCTAGTAGTCTTAAAAGTTTATTTTCGCTGCATACACTTTCTGACTGTTGCAACCAAATACAATTTAATTAACTTTCACTCACTGTCATAAATCTTTCTTTGACTAACTTGGAAACTTTGGTTGTACTCTTGTTCTCATATTTTTGTGTGTGAATAAATTCTATGATGAGATACTCTGTTAAGTTTTCTAATGCAGACTGTTGCTTTCGTATGAGTTGGGGATACTGCGATGATTGCTTAGGCTGGTAACGTCAAAATAAATTGTATTTTAGCACAGCTGTAGTGTCATTGCATAATAAACATGATACTTTGCCGTATAATTGTATAACAAAATAATCCATATTCCACTGTGGTTTAAAAGCGCAACACTCAAAGTTCATTTTTCTTTTTTTACAAGATTAGTATGCATTAGTAATAAAAAAATAAAATATTTGTATGGCAATATGTGTGATACTTGAAATGCTGTCGAATTATGACTGCATCACTGCAATTTGTAGTATGTTGCACAGCAGCGTAAAGCAGTGCGAGTGTCACATATGGTTTCTGTCACAGCTATTCAGCTCTGCCTTTGTAGCATGAAAGCAGCCATAGATACTATGTAAATGAATGAGCATGGCTGTGTTCCAATATAATCTTATTTATGGACAATGAAATTTGAATTTCATAATTTTTATGTGTCATGAAATAGTCTTGATTTTTTTTAACCATTTAAGTGTAAATAGCATTCTTAGCTCATCAGCCAGATAAAAACAGGAAATGGGCTAGATTTGACTTGTAGGCCATCGTTTGCCAACCTCTGTTCTAGACTACATTGGAAAGATTTCGCTGTTCAAGGTTAATTATTTTTTTTACTCGAATGATACTACTTCCCAAAAGATAACTTTTCTAAAATGAAGGACCGTTTTGCAATAGCATGAAGAATTATAATGTTAAAGGAAATACACTGTAGCACATACGGGAGTTAGAAATAAAGCAAATGAGTCTGGCTGTCATATGAACTTAGATGTTTAAGGGATGCATGGTCTTGGAAAGAGCATGAATTTAGGGATCACATTCTCAAATTCTTGTGAGAACTGTGGCAAGTTGTTTGACTTCTTAGCATCAGTTTCCCCTCGTCACATTGGAGATAAAGCCTTCTTGGCAGCATGGCTCTGAGGATGAGCAATAATATTTATAATGACTCTAAGTGCAAGATACCATTCCCATTACCTTCATGTTAAAGTACAGTTTAAAATTGATCAACACCTTGACTTCTCATGCAGAGTGTGTGCTTCTGTTTTTTGAGACAAGAATAAGGCCTGCTATTTATTAAACGTCTTAAATAGAAGCCATTGGTCCTATCTATTTAAAAATATTTGCATCCTAATTCTGTCACATTGCACAATTAGCTACGTAGCATCACTTAGTGACATTGATAAGTTCAAAATCATTAATTCTATACCCTTATTGATAAAAATGACTAACAGAGGAGAGCCAGGGCAAAAACCTGTGCAGACACTATAATACTAGTTTAAGGTCAATATCAATCTACTGAACCAATACCATGAGGTCAGAGTTTTAACGTATGATAATCCTTCTCCACCAGTCGGCTACCATTAGCTATTTACTACGGGCTTTGTTGTACTTCAGGTGAACCATTTAGTCCCTTTGTCCTGCCATTTTTATTATCCTGTCAAAAAAAAAAGAAAAAACTAGACTTAGTTTGATAGGACTTTGTTCTAGTGAACCCATGCTTACTCCTAAAGGTCACCATTTCTGTTTCTAATATTATAAATAGACTTTCAACAAATTCAGTCTGATCTTACTTGGAATCAACATTATTTTCCAATCTGCAGTTGTAGATTGGAAGACAGTCTGTAGACTTTTTTTTAAGTA